TCTTTAGACTTTCTAGGAACATGTGGAGCCACATGGCAGAAAGCACCTCCTTCACTTGATGTGGGGGAGCCTTGTCAAAACCTCTGTGCCATTGAAGGAAATGAGATCTAGTCCAATGATAACCTGAGTCAAAAAGGCAGTGATGTCATTTAAAGGCACAATGCTGTTACAAGCCTATTGGGGTTTGAATAATGTTTTTAAACAGCCAATCAATTTGCATAGGAGTGGGGGGTAACCAAAGGTAGAGGGCAAGGGATTATGGGGCGGAATGGCAGGTAGTTCTCCCCCAGTGTTCTGTTCCATCTGTGGGCTGAAGTACTGTTTCCAAAGACTAGTTAGAAGCTGTTATTTTAGGATACAACCTTCTGTAGAAGGTTTTTAAAATGTTGCTTGCTTTCCTTATGTATTGTCTGGGGCCAGGAGTGCAGATATAGTTATTCATTATGAATTAGGATATCTGTGTCAGAACATGGCAGTCACCTGCTCCACTTATGGTAGATGCATGGCTGGACTGTTTCTTACCAGTCAGAAAGTGACTGTGTTTCATCCTGAAAGGATATTGTTAGGAAACGAGTAGTAAAGGCATGGAGTGGGCTGACAAACTATAGCCTCTGGGTCAAATCTAGTTCACTACTTGTTTGTGTCTGACACATGACCTAAAGAGTTGTTTTTAAAAAATCCAAAGAATGGTGTTTTGTGACCCATGGAAATGGTGTGAAGCTCAGTGCAGATTGTGGACACACTCAGTGCAGTTTGTGGACACGCTCTCCAATGACTGTCTGAGTCACAATGCCTAAATCCTGCAGAACCCAAGCTATTCACCATCTGTCTTTTTCTGGGAAAAACTTACTGACCTCCATGACAAAAGCCAGGATGGTAGGGAAGAAGGCTTGGGGTGGTGGTGGGTATTACAGTTTCTGCCCACTGTGATGATTCTAGAAGGATAAAAACCAACCACTATTCCCTGTGCATAAGGATAGAACTAGGTAAGAGGGGTTGAGGCTACCAGAGGAGTGGCTGGATTTCATTTACTATTTAAGAAGTTGGCTGAGTGCAGTCCTGAGGAGTTGGGTGAAAGACAGGATGCACTTTAGAAGCCCAGGGATACATAGTTTAAAAGGTTATAAGGCCCCACCTTGGCTGCTATTAACTAGATACTACTAGACTCAGATCTGTGCTTATTGAATAGTTTTAATATACTAATTTCCTCTTCTTCTCCAGAGTATGTTGGTGACTGGGCATGTGACTTAAATGGAATAATTATATAATTTTATATAAAAGTTCTTTTTTGAACCAGGAATGGTTTGAAGCGGGATCAGATCCTGTTGTGTTACCCAGACTAGGTAAATGAAAACACAGCACATTTATACTAAGCATCTGAGAACATCTACACTGGCCATATAAATTGGAAAATTAAGAACAAAGAGAACTTCTGACATTGTAGGCAACGAAAGCACTTAAACTACACACAGAAGCAAGTCATCTCCCAAGAAAACAGTTCCCTTGCCTTTCCCAGCCAAGTTCCCCTAGGCTGGATCTGTTTCGGCCAGGTGTTGAGTGGCATACAAAGAGGTCTCGTGATGACTCATGCTGTTTTTCAGAGTAATTTCTTCCAGGGTGTTTTTACACTGGCGGAATTTGGCACAGAGAGGACTGTATAGGAGAACATTTCATGAAGGTTCTCTAACCCCAGTTGCATGAGAAGGAACTGGGGGAATCTTTCCTGAGTTAGCGAAGGCCCATGCCATCCAATTTGCACAAGGACTGGCATTTTGCTTTTACATCTACCCTCATGCCTGGATGTACAGAAGAACTTGTCATGGGGGCGAAGCTATTCCAAATTGCTCACTTCTGGAAAGGCTCCTCTCTACGGGTTTGAACATGCAAGAAAGATAATTTGACCTATTTGTCACAGTGCCTGGCAGGCCTGAACCCACTGTCTGCCCATAAATGTCCTGGGGCTGATGCTTCAATTTCAGGACCTGTCATGTTCTCATGGAATAGGGAGTTACGTGTGAACCAGAATGGACTGAGGTCTTGAATGTGCCAGTCTCTCTAACGGGGGGCTGGGATTTTATGTTTCACTTCTGTCCTTCCCCAATGGCTTGTTTCAGGTTGGTGCAATCAATGCCTGTGCCCCACAACACTCTCCTCTGTGTTTGCAATGCAGTGTTTATGCCCCTGCAGCTTTGTAATTAATAATATACTGCTTTTCATCTTCAAAGTGATTTATACACATTAATTAATCCTCACTGTACTTCAGAGATTCTGTCCGTAAATAACTATCGTGCCCTCACAGTGTACTTAGAGAGCCAAAGCTCAGAAGGCAAATGGTTCTTCACAGAGATATGGATTGCTGGGGCCAATGTCAGCCCTTAGGGTCCTGTCCTCTCACCAAATCTGTAGGTCTCTGGTCATCACTGAGGAGGGGCTAAGAGTGCCTTGTAGCTCCACATCACTGCTGGGCAAACTGGCTTGTTACATCACTCCTTTTGAGTCATAAACTACTTTTCAATACTCCAGGGTCAAAGCATAATCTTACCTAAAGCATACAAAACAGGAAATGATGGATTATAAACCAATAAACCAGAGTAAGATGCTCAGGCCCAGCTTCCAGTAGCCTCCAGACTGAGGATAAATATGTTTCCTAATCCATCATTTACAAGGTACGCACCCGATTAAAACATTAAACTCTCACTACACAGCTGCCCATTTATATGATCACTCTTACAGAAAGCTATTATATTTTAACTATCAAACTCAATAAATGAGATGCTAGCCATCTATCTCTCCCAACCTCAGGGAGGAGGAGACACACTGGGGAAAGTGTTGGCAGAGGCAGGTAGTGCCTCAATTTCTGTCTCCCCATGGTGCCCACTGGCCCTATAGAACATTAAGCCTGAGAAGTGAGCACATGGACCCTTTTTGAAGTTTCTGACATAAAGCCAAATCATGCAAAGACCCTAAAGGCACATTCAATTTGCTTCCACCAAGCCCCTGAAACAGCTACCTAGGGACTCACACAGAATTCCCTCTAATAACACAAAGATCCTAGTTAGGTGAATGGGGGTGTGTGTGGCAGTTCAAGTCAACCCACTGCTGTATCCTTCATCAAGAGGTGAGAAGCAGACATGACTTGAAATTAGGGATGTTGAATGTCAGACCTCAGGCACCACTGAGAGCCGAGGGTTAGAGTGAAAAATCCTTTGCAAAACTCCAGACAAACATAGCCCCTTTCCTTTCCCTGGAGTGTCAGCATTCTTGTTTTTTGGAAGACATTACTGATAAATGCAGCTGATAAGGAATATATAAATGTTTATTTTTCTATATTAAGACAAACATAGTTACACTGTAGAAGACAATGAAAAGTGTATATTGAGTGTATATTGATTTTTTTTTTTTTGGCTT